AGGATGAATCTTAACCTAATTTCTCATTTTTTCCCCGTCTTTCTTCCAGAGTCTGACGCCATGTTTGAGGCCCGCACAAAGGAGCCCCGACTCATCATGATGAAGTCCACCAGCCAGCCAGAGGTCATGAAGACGATGTCGTCTCCACTTGTAACTTCCAGCCCGAATGGCAGTGTGCATGCCCCGGGTTCCTACCTCTCTAGAGTTCAAGCTAATCTAGGTACCTCGTCGCAGAAAAGAACTGAACACGATAACATTTCACTTTCCTCCGGCTCTGGAGGTAACACACATGTTTCTAGATCTTTCGAAGCCGGTTCTACCCTGCCGATAAACGCCGAGCTCACTGTGCATGTCGAACTGAAGTCCAAAGATTTTTCAAACTCTGTTGCAACAAATGGAGGCATCACAGCTCTGCCTTCGCCTTCTCTGTCGCCCAGGATTGATCTGACTAAGACTGGTATCTCAAAAGTCGATGATGATATCCCCGATCATGTGTGGATGCAAGCGTATCATAGACAACGACAGAATCTGAACAATCAGCACATGCAACAGCAGTTTGAAATGGACCCACAGCGTACTGTGAATGCTGACAGTGTTACAAAGCAACTTTCCTCAATGGGGGGAACGCAATCCAACTGGATTCTGAGAGCCACGCCCATCTATCGAAGCGGGGCCAACGAGGAGAACGCGTCTCCCACGGAGGTTGTGATGTCACCCATACAGAAACAGCCTCTCGTCCAGACATCTTCACTGACAACAGGCAGCGATGGCTCCATCATTGTACCCGCTGACAAAAACTTTAATGTCGGAGGCGAATTAGAAGGTTACCGGATGTACAAAGGCAGGGCTTACAATGTGGACCAGTCTTTTGGCAGTGCGCACCCATCATCTCCTGCCATCTCAGATTCCCCTCGGGTTACTAAGTCAAGTCAAAATAACACACTAGGTCGAAAAATACCCCCGAGCCCTACTTTCCCCACCAAGCTGCTTCAACACGACGCGAGGCACGTTAAACACAATGGCGTGATACCATCAAGCCCCAAGAGCCACCATCCGCGCCATCAGCATCCACAGCACCATCATCAACATCATAACCTGTCGCAGCAACAGCAACAGTTGTTTCAGCAAAACACTTCTCCGCTAAAAGAGCAGATATTCAGAGACCATTTCCGACAGTTGCAAGAGTCAAAGTTCCAAACAGCACCTCTAAAGTCTCCAGATTCTCCACAGTCAAAGCACATGTCAAGGCCGTGGTGGAAAAACCAAAAACTCAAAGATGATTGGTCCAAACCGCGAGTTGTCACGTGTTCCGCTTCCTTGACAGGCAAGCCCCGCCCAGCGTCACAGAGATCCCAGAAACCTACTCCCTTGGTGAGCTCAGACAGGCTTTTTAATAATTATGTTTTTGTTTTTGCTGATTTCTGCCTT